TCCTCCCGAGTAGATAGGGTCTCCAATGTTGTACCGCTAACACTAGAGCCATTAATTCCTTTTCATAAGCAGAATTGTCTAAATTGTTTGGTGATAGAGCCTTGCTAAAGTAAGCAATGGGTTGTCGATTCTGCATTAAAACCGCACATATGCCCTTCCCGGAAGCATCACATTCAATATCAAATGGTTGGGAGAAATTCGGTAAGACCAACACATGAGCCTTAGTCTTCACTCCTTTCAATTCCTCAAAAGCCGCCAAAGCTTCTGGATTCCAATGAAACCCTTCTTTCTTCGTTAATTCTGTTAGGGGTTTGGTAATTTTCCATAACCCGCGATGAACTTCCTATAACATCCTGTTAACCCAAGGAATCCCCTTACTCCCTTCACATTGTGCGGTGTTGCCCATTCAACCACACTTCTGATTTTTTCGGGATCCACCGCCACTACTTGTTCTAAAATTAAGTGACCAAGATACTCCACCTTTCGGCTTCCAAACACAAACTTTTTTTATTAGCCACAAACTGTTGATCCCTTAAGACCTTCAGAATCATTGTCAAATGTTCCAAATGTTCCTCCCACCCTCTACTATATACCAATATGTTATCAAAGAACACTAGAACAAACTTCGTCAAATAAGGTTTAAATACCTCATTCATAGTGGATTGAAATGTTGTCGGAGCATTGGTTAATCCAAATGGAATAACCAAGTACTAATAATGTCCCTCATGCGTTCGAAAGACTGTTTTATGCACATCCTTTTCCTTCATAGGTATTTGATGGTATCCCGACTTTAAATCCAATTTAGAGAAATAAGTCGCGCCATATAACTCATCCAATAATTCTTCTACCACCGGAATGGGGTACTTATCAGGAATAGTTACCTTGTTTAACTGCCTATAATCCACACACATCCTCCATGAGGTGTCCTTCTTCTTAACCAATATGACAGGGCTAGAGTAAGTATTGGAGCTATGCCGAATGATTCCTTGCTACAACATGTCTTTTACTTTTTTCTCAATCTCTTCCTTATGGTGATAAGGATATCGGTAAGGTCTCACACTAACCGGTTCCGCCTCTTTTTGTAGGTCAATGGAGTGAGCAACACCTCTTGATGGCGGTAACCCCTGGGGCTGTTGAAAAACTGCATAAAATTTTGTTAGGAATTGTTGAATTTCACTTTGTTGTCCCACTAGCAGCCCTACATTCTCTTTTGGTGCCCTTGTTTCGACAATTTCATGCATTAAGCCTTGCAGTGATGCTACAGGCTTCTCCTGGTGCTTGTAATGTTCTGGCTTTTGCCCTTGCAATACCACTCTTTCTCCCTTCTAACCAAAACTAATTGTCATTTCTTCCCAATCAAAAGTGACTTTCCCGAATTTTTGCAACCAGGCTACTCCCAAAATCATGTCCAAGTTGCCCAACTCTGGCACACATGTTTCCACTGATGTATGAAAGTCCCCCAATTTAATGTCCACCTTTCTACATTTTCCCACTATAGCTACTTTATGTCCATCTCCAATCTTACCCCCCATAGATTTTCCTTGATTTACAGTGATTTCCAACGTTGTTACCTCCTGAGGAGATATGAAGTTGTGGCTAGCACTACTATCAATCAACTCCAACACTAACACCCCATTAATTTTTCCTTCCACCCGAAGTGTTACTGGTGAGAATCCACTCCGCTGTTTTGTATCCATCACACCAAAAAACCCCATAGGGCCACAGTCCAGATTCGGTTCTTCCTCCTCTTCCTCTCTAACTTCAATGGCAATAACCTCACCTGCTTCATTCACTATTTCGTCATCTACCAACATCACTAAGCGTAATTGCTTCTCCGCGCACTGATGAAGGGGATGATACCTTTCTCCACATCGGAAACACAACCCTTGAGCCTTTTGATTCATTAATTCAGCATATGGGAGATGTTTGGTGCCACGGTTTCGATCATTACTAAAAGATCTTCTCCCTTCGTTGTTGGATGTGCGATTTCCTTGTTGATGAGAAAAGCTTCGTGTTTCATTTTGTGAGTTGGTTGACCCTTTGAGTTGAGGTCCCTTAATGGGCCCAAGCCCATATCCTATTTTGCTTAGATTGAAGGGTTGACCTGCACCTAATCCTACCTTACCTTCATAACCCGAATTACAGCTCCTATTTCCCTTCCATCCATACATACCACTCACTCCGCTGCCACGGGATAATGATGCCCCACCTAGCTCCGCCTCTACATCACGTGCAACATGCATGGGTTGAAGACGATTCACCGGGTTGAATGTTCGAACTCTTAAGCGGATCTCAAGACGCAAGCCTCCGAGAAAGTAGCCCAAGTATTGTTCATATGGTAATCTATCTATTTAGGATGAGATGAACTAAAACTCCGACACATATTCCTCCACACTTCCCTTTTGGTTGAGATCTTTGAGTTCTTCGAATGGGTTATCAGGCCTGCGACCGCCATAACGATCGATTAGAGCTCTCTTCATCCTTGTCTAGGTCAGCTCATTTTCTGTTGCTCGTAAGAGGTTAAACCAGTGGATAGTAGCCCCTTCCATGCTCAACTTGGCCAACCTCACCTTCACCTCCTCTAGTATTCCTTGGACTTCAAAATAAGTCTTCGCCCTTGTGATCCATCCCACTGGATCTTCGCCGTCGAAAGGTGGTAACTCTACCTTCTTAGCGGCCATTTGGTACTCTGTCACTTTGTCCTCTCGATGAAATGTGTTGGTACTTTCCTCTGGTGGATTACGTAATCTGACAAACTCTTCGAGGATAGCTTGGCGAAATTCCGCTAGAGCTTGTCACATTGTAATCTCCATTGTTGCCATTCGTTCTTCCAACGTAGTCATTCTTTCGGTCATCTTTTGTGGCATGGACAACTGCACACTTCACTAGCTCCGATTTCGTATCCAACAGGTCGGACCAATGATAGAAACAGATAATATTTCATTGTGTTGTTATTGAATTTAAAGAAAAATGAGCTTAAGAGCTCCACAAAAGTATGTAAGAAAACAAACAACAATTAACCAGAGTTCAAGACTCCTCTAGAGCATCCTTTCCCTCACTCTAGCCTTCCCTTCTATTCTCCTCCCACAGATTTCTCTCCCCCATTTCCCTTACATCAGAATCCCTATATCTACGGGTATCATGCCACCTCACTCTCCTTCTAAGTAACTTTCTTTTTCTCTTTCCTCCTGGACCATTTTCTTTCTCTTAGTGTATATTTGCCACACTTTGGGCCTTGCTTTCACATTGTTGATAATAGACTCATTAGTATTTGTTGCTCTATCACAAACCTTGCGAGAAAAATCATCAATGATAGTTCATATAGCGGCATCCTCCATGGGAATGAACTTTAGAAGGCCCTCAAAGGTCAGAATGAATATAATCAAGAATACCTTTGGTATAGTGAGTTGCAGTAGAGAAACTAACATTTTTCTGTTTCCAAAAAGCACAATGTTTGCAAAACTCCAACTTACCAATGTCATGCTTACCAAGATGACCTTTCTTGCTCAGAAGGTGCATGCATTTTTCACTCATATGGCCCAGACGCATATGCCATAATTTGGTGACATCATTATCAAGCATTGAAGAAGATACACCTGTTGAACCTGTCACAACAGAGCCTTGCAAAACATATAAGCTACCAACTCGGTTAGCCTTTAATAATACAAGAACACACTTCGATACTTTTAGAACTCCACCTTCAGATGAATATCTCCACCCGAGAGACTCTAGGGTACTAAGAGAAATTAAGTTTCGCTTCAAATATGGAAAATCACAAGAAGCTTCAAAGCAAGCTTTTGAAGGAGAGGGGCGGGAGAACCATGCAACACCCACCAAGATTTAGGGTCCAATCTCCACATATTTTCAATTGAATCAAAAGAATCAAAACTATCAGACCTCGATGAGAAATTTGCATATTCGAGTGAAACCTGTTTTCTATCCTCATCATTTCTAAACAACTTTTTCAAACACTTATTTCTCTCCATAAAAATCTCTTCATCCTCGTGAGGGGCATGCCTATTTGGAGCCTCTTGAATCCACTCATCACTATAGTACCTATAAACAATAGAAAAGTTATATATCTAATTTGTATTTGTAGTATATTTACAATAACTACAATAATTAGAAAAATTAAACTTAAAATATTATTTTTACCTAGGATTCAAGGAGTGAGCCATACAATGGAGAGGAGTGCAACTTTTGGTTCATCTAGCAATTAGGATTGAATAAATAACATCGTAAAATGACGATGAATCACTATTTACATCTTTTCCCTCATGCCTAAATATATATGACTTTACTTTCTCTATCATAGTATCACACATCTCATAGACCAAATGAAGTGTGGGACTCTCTGTATCACAAGCTCTAAGCATACTATATATATGTTCAGTAAAATCTAAAATGTATGTAATTTTGTCACATAAGATATCATTCAAAATATGCTATTTCACAGCTTGAGTCTTTGTTGTATGCTCTATATCACCCTCTCTATAGGAATCTCATTCTTCACTAATAACCATTGATTGTAAAGAAAGCTTCAAAAATTTAAACCTTCTCAACATCAATATAATTGAGGCAAAATGCTAACGTCTCACTCACACTGTTCCAAAAAATAAAGTTAAAAAAGTAACCATGCCAATTTTCTTAATGAATAGCACTGTTCCAATAAACTAATATGTAACGTCTCACTCGCACTGTTCCAAAAAATAAAGTTAAAAAGTAACAATCTACACACCACACTCACACTGTTCCAATATTTTCACATTATTACTCACTGTAAAGTCTCAATCAGTGTAAGTAACGTGTAGCAGGTTCTCAAATAATAAATATTTTACTAGTTCTTTGACATTCAAACTCACTCAATGCAAAGTCTCACTCACTGTAAGTAAGCTACACACATTGGTTCTCAAACAATAAATATTTTTCTGATTCTTTGAAATTCAAACCTACTTTCTTCTCTCTTCCACCCCTTTCTCAACAAACTTTCTTTCACACCACCATCTTCTCTCCTCTTTTCACTTTCTTAATACAAATATTATCATTATTCACCATATTTTCTTCTATTTCACCTTCTTAATCTTAAATGTGAGTTCTTTTTATCATATGACATATATGGGTTATGGCGGCAGCGGTGGAGGCAATAGGCACTGGTGGCGGCACTAAGCATTGTGGATCAGATGTAATATGTTAGCATGAGTGTGTGACTCTTCATTAGTGTATATCTTTAAGTAAGTTTATATTTTCATTGATTAGTGTGAAGCTTTGATTAAAATTTATCATTTCTATCTTGGTTTTTTTTGTAGAAAACATTTGAGATACATATCCATATGCTAGATTTTTGTTTGAAACTGTTGGGATACGTATCCTAAAATATTTTTTTATTTTTTATTTTTGGATACCCTAGGATATGTATCCATGACGTATCGGAGCGTATCAGTGTTTGTCTGACACGGACACATGGACCACTTTGACGTATCTTTGCTTCACAGGTGGCGCCAATGGTGGCAACAGGAGAAGAAGGTTCAAAATCAGAAGATTAGGTGAAGAAGAACAATTATTAACTATGGTCTCTCGTAATTTTATAGGCAAATTGAGGAGTTGTTGTAGGCCAAAAATGCAGTAGTAATGTACTAGAACTAAGATAGATCATTTTGTATGTCAAAATATTTACGGGAGACAAATTCATTATCTTTTGTTATATGTAGATGAAATATTGATAGTGTGACAAAAATGCGAAGATGATTGGTGAGTAGAAGAAGTTATCAAAGTCTATTTGTATGAAGAATCTAAGCCTTGTAAAACAAATTCAGGGTATGCAGATTTTGCAAGACCAGAAGGCTAAGAAGTTGTGATTGTCATAGGAACGGTATGTGGAACAAGTTCTAGAGAGGTTCAACATGAAGGTTGCAAGTTGATCGGCATAGATCCTAGATGAATGTTCCAAAATTTTCCTCATCAGCCAGACGAGAGAATTGTGGGGTCCAACCATGTGCAATAAATTAAAGGTCATGAAACATGACATTCATTGCAAAAAAAAAAAAAGAGTTTTGGACGATGGAAGATTGGCCCTAGAAAAATTGCACCAGTACTAAATGATTTGCAGTGTTTTCACACTGCACAATCCTATGTAAATTGAGGCGTTCTTCTTCAATTGAAGAGGCATAAAGTAGAAGCAAAATATAACATAAGTCTTTGCAAGTCAGTTTCTGGTAGTGACTAAAAATAGAGCGTGTGAGTAAAAATCCTAAAGAATGTGTAAAAATACATTTGGTTAATTGAGTTTCCTCTGTATTACTCATTTATGGCCAAGTCTAAGATGCGAACTAGTAATTAGTTCGCTTGGATGTGAACTAATACAGAAGTCGGTTTGAGCCCTGTTAACTTTGGCCCATATAGAAGTCAGTTTGGGTCTCACCGACTTCTATATAGAAGAAGTTTTTTATGGAACCGACTTCTATATAGAAGTCGTTTTAGGCAATATTAACATTAACATTGCAGCACATCTGGTAAGTTAAGCACATTTTATAGTTTGTAGAGTGAGTTCGAATCTCACTCCACAAACTATAAAATCTGCTTTGCTGCAGTGTTAATGTTAACATTGCCTAAAACGACTTCTATATAGAAGTCGGTTCCATAAAACACTTCTTCTATATAGAAGTCGGTTTACTTTGCCCTCATTTATAATACATATTATAGTATTTGAATATGAGGGGTGTTAGTGAGAAATACTATATTTGTGTCTCTTGTGTGAGAATAGTGTGAAAATGGCATTCTAGTTGTCCTATATATAGTGGAATATTTTTCTAAGATTGTTTTCGCTTGATATTTGAGTGTTTTCCAGGTTAATTTTGGTGTTCCTTTTTACTTTGTTATGCAAACGTTTATTCTTGTTGTGTTGCTCAGTTTGTAGATCTATTTCCATCTAGTTTGGTGCTCATAGCTACATTATAATATTATTTAATTTAAATTTGCGATGATTATCCTATTTAAATTCATTCAAGAATTATATCGGGTGAATGTGGCTACCCATGATAATATCATAAAACGTTTCTAAATGACTTATGTTCACACATGATGTGCAATAAAGATATGCTTTACAAAGTATTTTTAGTATTTCTATTATGGCTCGAAGAGTAATTTTAAACTTACTCAATATCTTAGCCATCAATTATAGGAAATTCATTGAATTTCTCTAGAATTGATGGCTAAGATCTGGAGTAAGTTTAAAAAACTTACTATTGAAGTCAATGGATCTCTCCTATTCTATTATAAGTAAATTTAATTAATTCAATATATATTAAGAAAATTAGTTAAAAATTAATTTATTTGATTTAATAGAGAAATACACACATAACAAAATGTATTATAAAATAAATTATTTTCAATTAAGTGATATAAAAAAGGAACATTATATATATTATAAGTAAAGTCATACGCACAAATTGCAATTAATTTGAGGAGTAAAAATGAAACATGTTTTGATGAAATAATGAAATATATGAAAAAAGATATTTTGAGGTAGATTTGTGTTTAAACTTTCTAAGTAAAAATGTGATATACTTAGTTTTAAAATATTTAATAAATTAAAATTAATATCCAATCTCTTAAATTAGTAAAATCCATACTTTTATTTGTAAATATTTAAATATTTACCTAATGTGTAATTTAAAAAAGAGGAAAAAAAGAAGGAAAGAAACTAAATAGCAAATGAATTGATATATACAGTGTGGTTCATGCTGGTCGGTTTTATAGATATGAGTATGATATATCGGTTATGTAATTATAACAGTCAAAATCGGTCATATTAACCGATTTTCAATTGAATTGTACCAGTTAAACCGATAGATTTTCTATTTAAAATTATTTTTTAATAAAAAATATTGGTCTTTTATTGATTTTTCAATATTATTGTTAGTATATTGTATATGTATATCTAACTTCACCGGTATACAATTTAATTAATGAACCACATGTTGAACCACTATATCACTAAGGGATGACAAAATATTGAGGCTAGTGGGTACCCGTCAAAATACCTGCAACGGGTACACATAAAAATAGATTATGGGTGGGAACGGGTATCATGATACCCGTCTCGCGGGTACCCGCGTATATATTTTAATTAAATATTTTATATTTAGTTATTAGTAATTTAACATTATATTTGTTTATTTTATTATTACTTCATAATAAAATTTAGCAATGCGACTATAATTATAAAATTATCATATCACAGGGTCAGCCTTTAAACTCGGACCCACCCTAGACCCGATTAAATATAACGTATACTCATTTTACATAAAGTCTTCTAAATATTATTTATTATTGTGAATATGTAATTTGACATATAAAATAATATATGTGTATATATTACTAAACATATATATATATAATGAAAAATTAGAGAATCAATGATATTTTCGATCAAAAAAATATCATTACTCTGTATATATTTGAATAGAGACACATACAAACATCATGAGAAAGTGAAAATGGGACGGGTCAGGACGAGTTCTGTTTGGTCCATACCCGACCCTAAATATTGTCTGAGTCTAATTTTTGAACCCGAACCCAACTCTACACCCGACCCTTTTTAGGCCCGACCACGATCGGGTCATACTGGGTGAGTGGGTAGGGTCGGGTCCCGCTTACCCCTACTTACCGGTTTGATATCCAATATGGTATTAATAGCACTCAATATACATATATTTAGTGAGTTAGTGTTAGGGATGGAAACGTGGCCACATATAGTTCATACCCTGTCCATACCCACATTATTTGCGGGTACTCATGTGGATACCTCAGGTAGTTAATGAGTTTTCAATTTTAATTATATTTTCATATATTTTACAATAATTAATATGTAAAAATAATTATTACTTAAATAATATGATATGTATATGATAATTTTATGATTACAATCTCATTTCGAAATTTTATTATGAAATAATAATAAAATACACAAATATAATGTTGAAATAATAATAATTAGATATAAAATATTTAATAAATACGCGGGTACCCATCGGGTATCATGATACATGTTCCCACCAATAGACTATTTTTACGGGTATCCATTACGAATATTTTAGCAGGTACCCACGAAACGAATATTTTTGCCATCTCTAATTAATGTAGTAGACATCATCAATCATATATACATTAACGATCATTAACTTTAAATAACAAAATAATATAAATAAACGGACCAGATACATTTTAAACTCAAACAAATTAGAGGTGGTTGATTTCCTATATCCTCTTATTATTGACCCATGCCACAAATTTCTCTTGTTTATTTTAATCAAAGAATAAATGTTATTTTTCCTTAACTATTAGCGTGTTGATAGACAATTCATACTTGACAATCCATACTATCATTTTATGAGAGTATTCAATTTTGTATATTTTATTTTGGAGAATTGAATACATTTTATATTATAATATTTTCTTTATTATAATATAGCTAATATTACGGATAACAACGGGGTTGGGTAGTCACAGGTAGTGCATACCTGTGCCTATACCCACACTATCTGTGGGTATCTGTACGAGTAGCGGGTATCTGCGAATACCCGACATATTTTCAATTTTATTTATATTTTATAATAATTAATACATAAAAATAATTATTACTTAAATAATAATATATATATGATAATTTTATAATCATAGTTTTATCACTAAATTTTATTATGAAATAATAATAAAATAGAGAAATGTAATGTTAAATTAATAATAATTAAGTATAAATTATTTAATTAAAAAATATATGTGGGTACCCGTGGGAAGAGTATTATGATACTCATTCCTACCCATGAACTATTTTTGTTGGTACCCATTATGAGTATTTTGACGGATACCCACGAGTTAGAATATTTTGTCATCCATATCCAATATAAGGTGAAAGATTTAATTAATGTGTTGATAATCATTACTTATGATATATGTTTTTTTTTTTTTTGTAAAAATTAAAAAAACTTAAAGACAAAATAGAAATTACTCTATAACCACAATTACATAGTATTTTGCCTTTATAAATAAGATATAATATATATAAATAATAATTTAATCTTAAAAAAGTAAAATTTTTAATTTTGATAAATAATCCATGTTAAATATCCTAAAATATTTGTGATAAAAAATATTAAGTACAATCAATATAACATTATTTTGAGTTTTTGAATAAGATAAAAAGTTTTGAGGACCTCATATATTAAAACGGGTCTCTCTGTTCATATGTTTTTCATGATTCCGTGTAAGCTGAAACTATTTTCTAATAATCTGCAATTTCCAAAAAGCATCTCTCCTTTCCCATTCCACTAAACTTCTGGTAAGAACTAGATTCATTTTCATTTCTAATCTTTTAATTTCAAAACTAACTCATTTCAACAAATCAATCATAAAAATTTAATCTTTTTCATGAAATGTTTTGTGGGTAGTTGAGATATACACACTCCACTGCATGTGTGTTTTGTGTTTTTCTGGAATCTCACTTATTTAGTTTTAACATTTCTCTCTCAAACTCTGAATCAATTTTGTCTATTTGTTTCTTTTTTTATGTTTAAAATGTATATCCATTAGTACCTTGGAATATTGATCATGAAATTTTTTAAATCCTCCTAATATTTTAGCCTAAAAATCTTCTTAAATATATGTTTTTTTATATTATGAAGACATTGAATGTATTCACTCTTTCTTTTAATATATTTTTTGTATAGTTTTAATAAGATTTTAGGCTAAAATGTTTGGAAGATTTAGTATTACTGTATTTCCATTTTGAGGCAGTGAATTTCATTAATAAACTGCAAAATTACTGAATCCATCATAAAAGCTATTTTTTAGTTTCAAGTTTTTTGTTTCGGCTTTTCCTCACATTTCTCTTAATTTTCAATTAAATTCACAATGTTGGTCTTTTTGAAATGAAATGATTACAAAATTCCTCTTTTATTTTACCATTAAAAAGAGGTTTAAGATATAAAAAGTTATAGAAAAAACAATTTAATGAGACTTATTTAAGATCCCTTGTTCTATAAGGTCTTCCTTCATTGTAATCTATATTTCATTTTTTGTTTTCATATATTCTCTTTGGGGATTACTCCAATATCTATATGTTTTATGGTACTAGTAACTAGGGTGTCTTGCCATTTGTCTAACATTTATTTGTTATTGGTTCTTCTCATTGATGAAATTTTTAATGTGATTGTTGTGTTATTTGAATATCAGATTTTAAACATTGTATTTCACACTATGTATTTGCTATATTTCATGACTTTAGCTTAATCACATGTTTAATATCAGACCTGGGTATTGTCTAGTAGATAACAAGTTTAACATTTAATTGAAAAGTTCATTCTTTTTACTTACTGTAACAATTTACAAAGCCAGATTATGTAAGATAATTTGAAATTTCTTTTCAACTGAACATGCTGATTTTGGAATCACATATGCAGGCTTTAGCACCAACTATATGTTGAAGGATTTCAGTACTTCACCCCAATAACTGGTTCCTTGAAATTTATGTTGGTATTGCTGTACTGGAAATTCTTCTAAACAATCTCTTAGCCAAGTAAGGGCCTGTGCTACCATGTCACTTCTGGGTAAACTACGCTGTGTCACTGTAGATGTTACAGGTACCTTAATGGCTTACAAAGGGGAGCTCGGTGACTATTATTGCATGGCAGCCAAATCTGTTGGCCTTCCTTGCCCGGACTACAAACGTATGCATGAGGCCTTTAAGTTTGCATATAAAGATATGGCAACAAAATATCCATGCTTTGGGTTTGATGCCAAAATGCCAAACATTGTGTGGTGGAAAACTTGTGTGCGAGATTCTTTTGTCAGGGTAAGATATTCGTTAAAGTTATTAGGTTGTGTCGTTAGTGTTTTAAATTGTGGTTACGGTCACGA